TATATATATATATATATATATATATATATAATATATATGTAACAGTGTCTTAATATCTTTAGTGGAATTATACTGACTTCTTTGGGATCAATCCAAGTTTAAAAACTGCAAATGAGTTTATAATTGTTGTAAGAAAAGGTTGTTTTTTTTTTTGTTTTGTTATTTTATTATTTATTATATTGTAAATTGTCTAACAATATACTAACATCATATCTAGTAAAATCTAATCCAAGTAACATTTACAGTAATCCAAGTAACATTTACAGTAATCCTTGTAACATTTACAGTAATCCAAGTAACATTTACAGTAATCCTTGTAACATTTACAGTAATCCAAATAACATTTACAGTAATCCAAGTAACATTTACAGTAGCCCTCTTTTCCTTAGGAGATAAATAGACTAAAAAAAACCAAGTAAATAATCCAACTAATCCAAGTAAAAGAAAGAAAGAAACAAAGAATATAAATGTAAAATATACAAAATTAAACTTTGACAACTTTTTGATTTTTTTTTAATTTTATGTATTTCCATATACAATCATGTCCAATCAATGATTATATCTAAGCAATGATTAAATTTCTTTGTCTTTGAAAATAAAAATTAATTGTTTTAAACTCCAAGCATGTTTAGTGCTTCGTTTTAGTAAGGCCAGCCAGTGATATTGTACAGTTGAACTCTTGGAGTTCGAATTCCCTTTAGGGTTTATTATTTAGGATCTCCTATAATATAAAAACTCTTGTAATTCAAACATGTTTTGAAACACCTTTATTTGAATTACATTAGTTCAACAGTATTTAATGATGTTTTTGAGCATTAACTTCAAATAAATTTGTAAACACAGATATCTATAGATCATTTAAGGTTATCTAAGTCCACAGTTCACTTAATATTGGTAGGAAAAATAAATTGTGAACCCTGCTCTTTAGCAGAACTTATCAAGTTTTTTTATAATTTAAATGTTTGTTTTTTTGTTTTTTACAATTTTTGTTTTTCTTTTTTTAATCTTTTTATATTTATGTTCAGTAATTTATTGAGTTTTTTTTCTTTGGTTGTCACTTGCAACTCTGATAAATTTTTCAAAAATTAAAAAAGTTTAAGCAGTCTGAATTTTTTTTTAGAAAAAATTCAGACATAAGGTGGCCCCTCTAAATCTATTTTAATTTTAAAAACATAAGGTGGCCCCTTTAAATCTATTTTAATTTTAAAAACATAAGGTGGCCCCTTTAAATCTATTTTAATTTAAAAAACATAAGGTGGCCCCTTTAAATCTATTTTTATTTTAAAAACATAAGGTGGCCCCTCTAAATCTATTTTAATTTTAAAAACATAAGGTAGCCTCTTTAAAACTATTTAACAGAATTGCCAGAATTGCTGTTTAGTTATTGTTTTTTACTTGCATATTTTTTTTTTATAGCAACTTTTAGTTTATCACATGCATAACTAATTCAGTATTTTTTATGGTTGTTTTTCTTTCAACTATTTTTCAAATTTTAAATTTATAGCTAAAGAAGGAAAGAAAACAGTTTCAATGACATTTTCTTCAGATCATCGATCTGATGTATTAACATATGCTTTAGTGAGTATAATGGTTGTTTTATAAAAATTCTTTTCTTATCTATTTGTTATTAATGTTAATTAAGCTCAAAATACAGAAACAGTTTTTTTTTTTTTGCATTTTTTATTTCTAAATCTGTTTAATTTTTATTTATAGTCAATGAGGGCACAGTTTTATGAGTCTAAAGTAAAAAGTGAACCAGTAAGTTACTTTTACAAGTCTGTATATATGAATATAACTAAATTGTTCTGTATATATGAATATAACTAAATTGTTCTGTATATATGAATATAACTAAATTGTTCTGTATATATGAATATAACTAAATTGTTCTGTATATATGAATATAACTAAATTGTTCTGTATATATGAATATAACTAAATTGTTCTGTATATATGATTATAACTAAATTGTTCTGTATATATGAATATAACTAAATTGCTATAGTTCTGTATCACACTAAGTATAATTCTGTATTTGGTAAAAAATTATAATTGTAGCGCTTTAATGCTTACAAACATCACTGGAGTGAAAATCGAATCCCAGTAATCTTGCTTGTTTCACCATGCTCACTTGATCTTATCGATTATCAAACTAAAAAAGTTTTATGTTCATATAACTACAAAGACATGGAAGGTGTTGCTGAAGTAAGTTTTTGAATGTTTTTAATTTATTTTTATATGATATAAAGTTCAAAAAAATGTAAACTAAAATTTATTACTCAATATTTTATTATAGGTATCTGACTATCAAGCTGGTTTTGTTATTATATATGGTGGATTTTCTAGACTGGTATGTTGTACTTTTTATTGAAAAAGTAGTATGTTGTAAATCTAATTAATAAAGTTGTTGATTTTTAGCATAATCAGCGATTGTGTTGATGATTTGGCCACCTCCCTGAAATCTTGCGATTTCCGATTTAGGAAAATTTTAAATAATTTTGAGACTCAATTTTGTAATTTTAAGTCTTAGTTGTCATATTTTGGCATCATATATACACATTTCAGGGAATTCTTTAAAATATAGAGATATGTTTACTTCATTTATCATTCAGTAATGAACATTCAAAAATATCATTCAATTATTAAGCTCCTCCTATAGATTTCTAAAAACTGTTAATGATTGATATATAAAAAATTTATTCATATATTAGTTCACATGATTTAGTTTAAGTTTTTAAATGAAAATTTTTAAATTAATGTTTGAAACATGTGAATTATATCTAATGAATGTTTGAAACGTGAATTATAACTAATGAATGTTTGAAACATTTTTTAGAGAGTATTTTTTTTTATTAAAGGTTATGATATTGCACATATTATTATTAGCCCATATGTTACCCAAATATATAACTTTTTTGTGATACAAAAAGTTATTAGTGCTATTGTTGTTGTGTTTTATGTCTAACAAATTAAGGAATTTTGTAATATTATGTTAATTGGTTTATAAGATTATCCTTACCACAACGATGGTAATTATTTATAATTTTAGCATTTTCTGCAAAATTTGTTGTCAACTACTCATACCAATAACAAGTAAATAACTTACAGGAATAACTTACAGTTATTCCTGCCATAATCTTACATAATACTTACAGTTATTCCTGCCATAATCAGATTTTCCTAATTTTTCCATTTATTAATCCAGACTATTACTATAACACATGTTGTTTCTGGTAAGTAGAAAGTTTTAGTTGAAAATGTAAAACCATGTATCAAATTTACTACGATCTTGAACTGTTCAAAATTAAATGTAAACTAATATTAAACTCAAGAGCTAGACTGCATTGTATCAATTATGTAAAGCTAAAAAAAAATTAAACCTAAAAAAGATATATTTTAAATAACCCATATAAAACAAATTAAATGTAAAACAAATATTTCCAATAAACCTTGTAAATTAAATTTAATTATATATGCGCTAAATATAAAACAAACAGCTGCACCATACAACAAGCACTTAATTTAAACATAAAACTTGGAACAAGCAATTAACTGTATAAAATTAAAAATCTCAATAAACTGTATAAAATTAATGTAAACTAATAATAAAATGAAAAACTCTATTAAACCATATAAACTAAGTATAAAACAAGAAACTGCATCATACTGCCTTGATTTTTTCTCCTGCTGCAAACTCTAATAATAACAAAATATGTATAATTGTGTCATAATTTTTGCTTCTAAAACAAAATAAATTTAAAGCAAGCGAAAAAAAATTTATTTAGTAATAAGACGAATATACTGTTTCCACTTACTTCTCTTAATCACCTGCTATAAAACTGAACATCTGTTCACAATAGTATAATTAGTACAATAATACTTTATCTAACATAATCAATCACTACTTTTCTCTTAGCTGTTTACTGCTAAATATGTTCTACTAGTCACTTGTTCTAAAATATGTTCCACTAGTCATTTGTTCTAAAATATGTTCCACTAGTCACTTGTTGCAAACTTTAAAGGTATAAACTCGTCAAATAATTTGTCGTTGATCCCAATTAACTATTAATTAAAACATTATTTTGATAGAAAAAAAATAGTGATAAATGACTTACATAAATGTAGAAAAATAATCTTATTGCTTAAAAAAAAAAGATTAAGAATATATAATGAAGGTAACTTTTTATGTAGGAGTTCACCATAAAAATTTTATTTAATATTTAGTCTTAATTTTATTTAGCTCATGCAGAAAACAGGAGGATATTAGTCAACTTAAATATGATATTCTATAAAAAGAAAGTATAAAATTCTATAATATTGGTACAAAAATCCTACGTTCAAGAAATAACGCCCATTTAAAAAAAATCTAAACAACTATAAAAAAGATACAATAATTTAAAAATCATCCTGATGGTTGATAAAAAAAAGTTGGGCAAATAAAATATAAAGACGAAATATATTACTTTATTTTTAATTGTATCACAAATATATTTTGTGCAAATTTTTGATTTGCTGATTGTAGGAGAAAAAATACTTATATCTTTAAAAAAAAAAATGAAATCTTAAAAAAAATTTATGATGACGTCATATACTAAAACTGTTATGAATTAAACGCTCATAAAATAAGTTATCAAGTCTCCAGATTGCGGCTAACATTATACAGACGCTGAAAATTAATAAAAAATGGAGACAGTGAGCTTCGACTAAAACAACAATTTTAATTTTATTGGTATGCATTTATTATTTAGTTTTAATCAAAAAAGTTTAGCCCAAATGTTTTTGAAACATTTTCTTAATTATAAACACAACTTGTCTCGGCACTTAGGGCCCTTAAACACATTTTTTAACTCTATTTTTATTAACTCTGTTGTTTGTGTATTTTTAAAAACATATTAAATATTTAAAAATATGTTTCAGCATTTATTTTCATGTGATCAGCGTGACGAACTAATAAAAAAAATAATCGATTCAGCTTGTAACTGTATTGGTGTCTCCTTAAA